AACATGGAAATGGTATCCATGGGGGGATATACAATGTATACAGTAAGTAGATATAACATGGAAATCGTATCCATGGGGATATACAATGTATACAGTAAGTAGATATAACATGGAAATAGTATCCATGGGGAGATATACAATGTATACAGTAAGTAGATATAACATGGAAATAGTATCCATGGGGGGATATACAATGTATACAGTAAGTAGATATAACATGGAAATCGTATCCATGGGGAGATATTCAATGTATACAGTAAGTAGATATAATTAGGTAGCCCTATTAATGATAGCCGAGTGGCAAAGGCTATGGGTATATCCTAAAATATATACCATCAAGCTTCAAAAGAATATTGCCTGTGTGGCTCTGAGTACAGCTAGATAGATAGGTGTATATATTGTCAGAGAGTATTTGGGAAATCCACAGCAGACCCCAGACCTGATAAAACCACAGTTGGGAAAACTGACAGTGGGTAAAGTTAGAGATTAAAGTAAACTCCCCTATTTCAATATTCTCTGATAGCACCTGGTTGTGAATAAATGAACACACAGCCGTTAGTATGTTAGTATGTTAGTATGCTATGCCTATGTGAATAAGGCACTGTATGCCAATCATTTCTACTTGGTCATTACTATCAGGGTAATAGGACTGGAATCAGGTGTGCTCTTCTGCAGATCCTGTCCCAGCCCTACCTATCATCTCTTTTTCTGGGTTAGGCCCTTCATTACCCTACAACCATTACAAATTTGGTAAGATCTTCTCTCTCTCCAACGTTGTATATTCTACTATATTTTTATCTATCTATGTATATCATATTGTAAAGCACTACGGAATATGTTGGCACTATATAAATGACAATAATAATAATAATAATAATAATAATATATCTATGTATCTATCATTCTGTCTCTCTGCATCTATGAATATATGTTTTTATTTATCTACCTGTATATATCTATCTATCTATATATCTGTCTTTCTATATAGATCTATCTAACCATCATTTGATCTATCTATCTATCTATGAATCTATCTTTTTATCTATCTCTAACTATCTAGCATTCTATCGTCTATCTGTTTCTCTGTATATATGAAACTTTCTATCTATCCTATTAATCTCTCTCTCTCTCTCTCTCTCTCTCTCTCTATATATATATATATATATACATATAAATAAATATATGATACAGACATGTTATTTCTCTCTCTCTATATGATAGACATGTTATTTCTCTATCTATATATGTGCAGATGGGCACACACACACATATCTTGCTGGCAGGACTATGGTGATAACAGAGTAAGTGCTGATGTTTTCATGTGCTGATCGCTGCACCTTCAGATCTTTGTTCAATTACTTTCTCTGCACGACACTGAGCCGGCTGATCGCGTCAAATAAACGTTGTTCCTTGTCGGTGGGTGCAGTGAGCATCCTGGCACTGCCCGCTATCAGTCGTGGGCACTGAAAGATCAAGTGAGAGGTGCGGCAGCAGGAAACCATGAAATGAAGCCATTAAGCACGAAGCGAAGACAGCGAGAAAGCCAGAAAACAATGATAAGAGTTAACTAAGCTGCTTCAAAGACCATCAGAACCTCGGAGAGACGTCACCCGCTCATTAACAGCCAGACGCAGTCACATCAGCTGTGAGCAGGAAAGCCTGTGTCACTTAAATATGGCAGCCTTACTGCCCAGTCTAATCACTGATCCCAACCCAGATAGCCTCGGCTCAGCTGGAACCCTGCAACGCCCATGATGCTCTGCCAGCCGAAACGCCAATCTGGCAATATGAACTGTAACATTCTAAAAGTGGGGGGATCAAGGAGAACATTCTACTGGTTCCCATGGCAACTGCTTCTTGTTGCTCCTTGATGTGTTACAAGGAACTTACAGTCAGAGTTGTTCTTAGAGACAGCCGCTGGTGTCGGCTGAAACGTTGGCCTTCAGTCTAATTATTTAAACGTAACGCTTTAAAATAGGGGTGGCAAATTGTGCCTCACATCCACTGCAGGTCTTCCACTCCAACGCCCCTAATTCTCAGCCCAGAAGAAAACTATGGGTTCAGTTATGGAAGCGGATTGAAGATTAACACTTCTGCTCTAAAACTAAATAAAGCCATGATACAAATCTCCCCATTTATAGCTCTTCACAAAGATTAGCCACAGCCTACAACTCCCAGAATTCTTTGAATACAAGAGATGAAGAGAGAATCATGGGACTGGTAGTTCAGCAACATTTGGGAGGCAGGAGTTTGAAATGCCTTCTTTACAACTCACTGATGGATTTAAAACTGATTTCATAGCAGAACGCAAACAAAATCACCTGTATTCAAGCAGGGAATGCAAAATACATAATAGGATTAAAAAATATATACAAATAACAGCTGACAAATATCGTTTGTGTAGAAACAGTGCTGAGATCTGACGGTGTACAGCAGGGTTCATGCTGCCGGGATCTGCCAATAACAGAATATCCATGGGATCTCAAATGGCCCCAAGCTATATCTCAATGAATATACCATGTGTAAAACAAAGAGCCAAAATTAATTAAATAGTTTTTTCCCACTTCACAAATACATGGTGTTAAATAAAATTGTTAAATTGATAAATTAAAAATAGTGGGAGGTTAAAGATCCCCTTTAATTTAAAAGAGGAAACTCTAAATAAAATAAATCTATGTATAAGGCCAATATGTATAGCCACATGAGACCTGGGAGTATCAGATAGGTCCTAAAAAAGCCTAACCTAGAGCTACAAAATCGGGGGTAACCCGAATATAAAACAGCAAAAATAGAGGAAACCCTTGAAACAAGGGGGTCCTGAAGCTCTAGTGACACAGAGATACCCTCGTCTAGAAAGTAACTAGAGCGGGTAAGCAGACAGTAACCAGGTACATGGGGAAGGCGGCAAGGGTATCTGTACAGAGGAGGGTGGGTATGATCAGGAAATATAGGGAAATACCAATTCCCAATAAAGCTGTATATATATATATATATATATATATATATATATATATTAGCATAACCTAAACGTAAGGATCACTAGCCCTAATGGTACTCCGGTACCTTGGAGGACTACACTGATTCCCCCTGCGCCTGGCAAAAATAGTGCTAAAGGTTGAATAAACTTAATAAAGCATAAGAAAACCTAGTGCTACCGAGTGAAAGAACTATATAAAGTTAAGTGCTCAATGCGCGTTTCGTCGTATCTACACGCCGTCGTCAGGAGCTAACAAACACATACGAACGAACATTCTACATTTTGGTTGTGATCAGCTCCAGAGTGATTATAGCTTCTTCTACAGGTCACCGCAGTATCACCCAAACACTAGTCTTCCGGGGCCCCCACTGTGTCCGAAAAGCTCAAGGATCGGTTATTGCTAGCTCGAATTAGGTGGGAGTCCAAAGTTAGGCTCCATAGCCAAATCCACTTAGTTGGTAGCAATCCTCAGCAGTACAGGAGAGCAGGCAATACATTTAACACTAAATATTTAGACACACCCTGGACCTATAATGGGCACTGGGTGAATTAAACATAAGAATAGTCCAGGGATCTACATAAATAGTCGTGTACGTGCGTATGTGTGTACGTGCATTACATGTGTGTGTTTTTGTGTGTATACTCTGCATGTGAAATATCTGCATATTCAAAGGCAATCAATCAAAACCTCTTCAGAAAGATCGAGTTTCTCTGTCATTCCCAACATAACATTAAATATACACTTATGCACAGAGGGAATTTTTGAAATTTCCTTCTCAGTGTTCAACCGAGTCCGATCTCATTACCTACATCATGTTTAACTCTTCAAAACCGTGAAACAATCTCCAGCCACCATCTACTACCCTTTCTATATCACGATTAGTGTTTACTGCTCCCACTGGAAGGCTATTCCAGGTATCTACTACCCTTTCTATATCACGGTTAGTGTTTTCTGCTCCCACTGGAAGGCTATTCCAGGTATCTACTACCCTTTCTATATCCTGTTACTGCTCCCACTGGAAGGCTATTCCAGGTATCTACTACCCTTTCTATATCACGGTTACTGCTCCCACTGGAAAGCTATTCCAGGTATCTACTACCCTTTCTATATCACTGTTACTGCTCCCACTGGAAGGCTATTCTAGGTATCTACTACCCTTTCTATATCACTGTTACTGCTTCCACTGGAAAGCTATTCCAGGTATCTACTACCCTTTCTATATCACGGTTAGTGTTTACTGCTCCCACTGGAAGTCTATTCCAGGTATCTACTACCCTTTCTATATCACGGTTAGTGTTTACTGCTCCCACTGGAAGTCTATTCCAGGTATCTACTACCCTTTCTATATCACGGTTAGTGTTTACTGCTCCCACCGGAAGGTTATTCCAGGTATCTACTACCCTTTCTATATCACTGTTACTGCTCCCACTGGAAGGCTATTCCAGGTATCTACTACCCTTTCTATATCACTGTTACTGCTCCCACTGGAAGGCTATTCCAGGTATCTACTACCCTTTCTATATCACTGTTACTGCTCCCACTGGAAGGCTATTCCAGGTATATAACACCCTATCTGTATCACTGTTAGTCTTTACTGCTACTAAAGAAAAAAGTTACCTGCGCTCTCTCCTTAATCCCTATGTATACTTAGACAAATGGAGGTCATTTAATTACTCCAATGGCCATTGGAGGGAATGCCCGCCTGCCAACGTCAAGGCAGACCCCCCTTAGCGGGTCCTACACTGACCCTTTACCTTGCTTCCTTGAGCTTCTGGCAAAGATATCTCCAATGAGATATGCGTGTGCATGTAATTCTAATTGTGATCCTATATTACCAGATGGGTGTGATGTTTAAATGAAACACAGAGTGGTATTTGATTTCTGGATGTTGAGGGTTAAATCTTACAATAAGTTTTAGTTGTAGTATGATGTTCTGTGTGTGTAAACTGTCTTTCCTTCCTTATTCGAATAGACTCATGTCTCTTCTACTCCCTCCAGCCCCATCCTTTCCTCCCCCTTTCCCAGCCCTAGTCTCAGGAGCCCCCAATCTAAGCTTCTGGCGCCTGGCAGACTCTGGGATGACATGGCAGTGAGGTGAGCAGGGAGCTGGACGTGATGTGGGGTGAGGAGGGGGCTGGGGGCAGAGGGCAGGGTCACACAGAGCAGGGTATAAATCCCATAGGGGACAGTCCATGTCAAACTCAGATTCAGGGATCTCACAAGGATGCTCTCCATTGACAATATGGAACCAAAGGCTTTCTCACTGCTAATCTCAGCTCTGCTGATAGCCACAGGTAGGGCGCATTATCATTTATCATCTATATTATACTGATAGAGTGACATTTATTTTATATATTATATAGAGTGATATTTATTATATATATTATATAGAGTGATATTTATTATATATATTATACTGATAGAGTGACATTTATTATATATATTATACAGATAGAGTGACATTTATTATATATAGTATATAGAGTGATATTATATATATATATATATATTATACTGATAGAGTGACATTTATTATATATATATTATATAGAGTAATATTTATTATATATATATTATACTGATAGAGTGACATTTATTATATATATATTATATAGAGTGATATTTATTATATATATATTATACTGATAAAGTTACATTTATTATATATATATTATACTGATAGAGTGACATTTATTATATATATTATATAGAGTAATATTTATTATATATATATATTATACTGATAGAGTGACATTTATTATATATATTATATAGAGTGATATTTATTATATATATATTATACTGATAAAGTTACATTTATTATATATATATATATATATTATACAGATAGAGTGCCATTTATTATATATATATATTATACAGAAATAGTGACATTTATTATATATATTATACAGATAGAGTGACATTTATTATATGTTATACAGATATAGTGTAATTTATTATATATATTATACAGATAGTGTGGCATTAGTTATTAAATGTATTTTGCAGATAGCATAATGTATTAAATACGGTATATATTACATTATACAGATATAGCATAATTTATTCAATATATCACAGTAAACAGATATAGCATCATTTATTGTATATATTATAATATACACAGTGTTATTTTTTAAATGGATTATATTATACAGACGCGTGATTTATTAAATGTGTCATACAGATACAGCATCATTTATTCAATATGTTACATTATACAGTTATAGTATCAGGTGAACATATCATTTATTAAATGTATCATGATAGACAATAATTATCCCTACGTCCCATTACTGGCTTTATTTAATGGTTAATATAGGACTTAACTCTTTAAGTGCTTATTGAGTGTCTAATGTATTTTTAACCAATTTGGGAATTTTTATCCAATTTGGGAATTTAAAAAGTTTTTTCTGTAATTCCATTAACCGAATGCGTAAGAAATCTGTATCAGCTGTGACAAACGATTCAATTTCCTGTTGATCTATGATTTCAATTCCTGACTCCGCAGATAAATCCTGGGATCGATTCATTTGCGCGTAGATTAAAAGGAATTGAATTTGTTCAGGATACACACACATCAACGTGTCTCCTGAGCTAAGCAAAGAGCACTTTCCAAAGTCGAGTTGTTTAGTCTCAGACACAGCCAGCCGTTTCTTTCATCACGTTCTAATAGACACTCTGTAACTGTCTGAATGCTAAAAGTCACCACTTGGTCTTTTAATACCGCTGCTTCGTAAAAGTGTTAATAAAACCGAGTGCTCCATGCTTTCTTACAAAGTTATTTAATAAAGTGGCAATTGTGTGGAATTCAAAGTCAATTAGACCAAAATAGCTAAGTTCTTAAAAATGTGACCTGCCAGTAGATAACTTAAACATTTTTTTTTTTAAATTTGTCTTTGCATTCATAAATGTCAATGAATAATTCAGCTAAGCACGTTGAAATCTTAATACTGCAAGGCTGTGTGGACACGTCCAGTGCTTGGTCCTACGGATATATAAGATGAGATGAATAGGTTGTGATATTTCACTGAGACTTGGACACAGCTTAATGAATGAGTCTGCGAGTCCCGGACGAGGTATTTTCACTAGATTCTAATTTTACATTTTGAACAATGAGTCGCTAAGCAATTCAGGAAGAGTAGAGTGGCCTGCGCACTGCTCGCACACGTTGTATATGAGAAAGCTCAATGGCTGGACGATAGCGGCTGTAATTTATGCCTCCGACAAGTGAACATCTTGGCCGATGTCCCAGATCCAAGGGCTAACACACAGCCAAACTAAATATCATCAGCAAATGATGATCTAGCAAAGAGATCAGTACAGCGTGGAAAAACCTCAGCAGACAATCTGGATCAGCACATTATACAGGTTCTATGAAATTCCTAATAGAGTGCAGACAATCTGGATCAACACGTACCGAGACATTATACAGGTTCTATTAAATTCCTAATAGAGTGCAGACAATCTGGATCAATACATTATTCTAATAAATTCCTAATAGAGTGCAGACAATCTGGATCAGCACGTACCGAGACATTATACAGGTTCTATTAAATTCCTAATAGAGTGCAGACAATCTGGATCAATACATTATTCTAATAAATTCCTAATAGAGTGCAGACAATCTGGATCAGCACGTACCGAGACATTATACAGGTTCTATTAAATTCCTAATAGAGTGCAGACAATCTGGATTTATTACTGAGCTCTATATAATGATACAGTTATATAAATGGTGTTCTACTGGTTTCTTTTAATCTTGTTCTATCCCATTTGGCAGGCCATTACAGATTTTTCTATATTGTTGGTAACTCACAGCAGCTGAGCACTTTCTATACAATTGTCTATTATACATATAATCCGATCTGAAACCATGTTATCTATTGCACGAGATTTACCGAATTGTCTTATTCTTTTAGTACATTCCTCTCGGAAAATGAGTGTGAGCATCATCCCATCAAACGGTGAAATATATGTCGGAGAAACAAAGTATTTCATGTGTAAAGGTACATTTTAACCCAATTCTCATCCTTACTGTTACTAAACCCTTTCACTGCCAAATACGCTAACAATGTATAGGGAAAGATTTCCAGACAGTAAGAAGATACAGAGAGCAATAGTTCCAAGTTTTAACAGAGATTATTCATTGGATTGGGAATGTTGGAGTCACAGAATAGTAAATATGCCCCATTAAGCTCTATTAACCCTGTGTAAACCTTGCTCAGTTACACCATCATAACTCTCTGATCTCTAAGGATCCAGTCATGTCCACACCGGCACAAATGCCAAAACTAAATATGTTGGACGAGCCATGCAGGTATGAGGTTGTTAGGAACCAGATTGTAACGACTGAAGGAATAGTATAGAGAATTGACCTTAACCCCTTAAGGACACATGACATGTGTGACATGTCATGATTCCCTTTTATTTCAGAAGTTTGGTCCTTAAGGGGTTAAAAAGCAACTTACTGCTACTGATAAAAACAATATGGAGTAATAGAATTGAGTTTTGGCTATAATTTACTTTAATTTGTATTTCTGTAATCTGTCCTGCTTTCAGCAATAAGGAGCTGATGTTAAACTTTACACCATGAATTTGTGATCTCATCAATGACCCAACTGAGACACTGAGACTGTAGGAATGTGAGACAGTTGCAATCCCTTGTATGGCCACATGGGGGCGGCTGGGATATGAGAGTGATGATTTATTTTTAATGTGGTTACATTGTTTCACTGTTTGCTATGAGAAGTTAATTGGACATTACTGCAAGCTATTGAAATGGACTTATCCCAAAGTATTAAAGAATGAGTTAAACTGTTTCAGAGCATAACAGACCATCACTATGTGTGTTCACTAAGACCTGGATATTAAATGAAGAATAGCAATATTTACTTTATTTATTTCAATTAATAATAAGCATTAAAAAAAAAAAAAACAATCAAGACAAATTATTTGTCATAAATATAATTAACTGTTCATCTGAAAGGGTTAAAAACCATATTAATATTATTACCTTTAGTTGCTCACTGACATAGTGATTTCCTACATTCAGTCAGTATTATTGACTATTATGCAGAGAAAAATTAAAAGGACATTCCAGTGCTTTATGTTTGAAATGTGTCCTTTTTTTTTTTTTTATTTTACAGAAATTTTGCAGATATTAGCACTTTTATAAATGAACCTTGCTATGCCCCCTGGCTGTCAACCAGACAACCGGTCCTGTTACTTCCTGGTTTATTTAGCTGAGTAGAGATAAACTCTAGAGGCTGTGACACACAGGGCACCTGCCTTGCAAAGACTTCTGTTAGAACTGCATTAGGAAGTCTGTGATTGGACAGCCACAGAAAGTCAGGGCAGGGTTTGAAGGGGAGGGCTTGCAAAGGCAGCAGACAAGAAAACTGCAGCTTTTACAAGTGATTTTTCGATATATTCCCAAAGAAAAAAAAATGCTTAATTAAATGCATGTATTCATTTTTGGTTTATCTACTAAACAGTGATTTATTTATTTTTTTATATTATTTGTTCATCGTGGTGTCCCTTTAACCTGAACCTCAGTAGCAAAGAAACCTAGCTTAATACATTGAATTTCAATGCGTGTATAATCAGTACCATCAGGTGTTCCTTGTACTTTGAAACCATATCTTCTGCCACTGCAAATGTTTCTAATTCCACCTCTATCCCTGACAGCTACTCAGGAGGCAGAGCTGAAATGGGTAACCACTGAGGGCGATTTAGAAGACGAACCTGGACGATTTGAGACAGAAAAAGTTGATGAAACTTTGATTGGTGTTAATGTAACATTATCTAGCATCGAGCCTGACCAAGTGATCAAATGCCAAGGGGAAACTGACTCTGGGGAGTCATCAGAACAGGAAATCACACTATCTGTTATCCGTGAGTGATTCCTAACTTAAAATGTGTGTTTCCATGAGACATTTGTATATATTGATTTATAATCGCTTCAATAGCAGAGGACACAATGTTTGTCACTGGGTGCACTTTACATTCCAAACTGGGAATGAGGGTTCTGCTTATCAGGACTCCAGTCAATGGGGGGGAGAGTCCTTTCCATACTCATCTCCATACTCATCTCGATTCCCTCCATGTGTATAACATCACTGGTGAATGTAGAAATATCTCGAATTTTCTATAATATGAACATACCGTCCCATCTGTTACCTGGTTACAATCATTTGTCGAATACATTTTAAGAAATGGCTGAAGCCACTGATGGATCGATTGCCTTGGCAGTAGCCAGAGAGTGTTTACTTCAGAGGTGCTCGAAGGGTAGATCCCCAGATGTTTTAAAACTACAGCTTCAATGATGCATTGCCATTCTAAAGGCATGCAAAGCATTTTGGGACTTGTAGTTATAAAACATATGGGCACCCCTGGTTTACATCATTTCAGTAACCCCCTTTTATTTGCTGCAGAGAGACCCAAGATTGTTGGAGACTTTGGATCAAAGAAAGAATTCACTGCTGGTTCTCTGGTTAAGATCCCGTGTTTAGCGGAAGGCATCCCAAAACCCAAAGTCTCCTGGATGCGCAATGGAAAAGCAGTGAGCGGGTCTCAAGGTCAGTCTAGAAAGTTATTATGTTAGTACGATTGCCCGTTTCAAAGCCAGCATCCCAGAGCCTGAGCGAGCAGCTTTGTTATAGAATGCACCCTTCTCTGAAATTCCACGTCATTTTTCTAGCACTTAGTGGCTGTCATGTCCTTCCACATAACAACAGGTCGCATCTCTGTTCATGCAGATGGATCTCTACAAATTGACCAAATCCAGCTGGAGGATTCCGGGATCTACAGCTGCGCAGCCTCCATTGACGTCCGTGGCGAGAAGGACCAAAAAAGCGTGTCTATTACTGTGAATGGTGAGATGCAACAGATTGGCTCGCAATGCGTAGTATGGGAGACAGTTACTAACGTCATCACACAATTCCTAGAGTGAGGACCTACAGTGTACTCACTGAGATATACATGTGAAATAATATATCCGCAGAAAGGAGTTGGAATAGTTTGACATGACTGAAGGGGTAGTGGATACATGGAATTCCGAAGTGGGGAGATTTAAACATTAATGGAATAGAGGTTATCCTGGACATAAGACAATGTCAGAGGTCGGATACAATGTGATGGTTGGGATAGAGAGAAAATATGCAGATTACAGCAATTGGCGCCATCCTTTTTTTATTCATTATTACATGATAGGTTTAAATGACTAATTGCAGGTAGTTTAACATTTTAGGCCAAAATTTTAACTCAGCTAAGTTTCCACTTCACCTGTTTGGGACTAGAATTTGTAAACTCCTCAATGATTGATTTAGTAATTAATTCCCAGTGTGTTTCTAATTAACACTAACTATTCATTACAGAGTTTTTATCAATGAAGAATAAACGTGAACACTAGCTATACCTTGTATATATCATTTCGCATTATTTCTTTTTTATTGACACGGTTTGCACAGATTTAGTAAATAGCATTGTCCTGTCTCCGACGACCTCTAACATACCTTCTTTTTGCTCACAGCGGCTCCAGTTGTACGTTTGCCTAATAAGCACCTGAATGCTACCTCGAAATCAAATACGTCTCTCACCTGTTCAGTCACAGGAAACCCTGCCCCTCACATCACCTGGAGAAGGTATTGTCATCCTGCTAAATGTCTCGTTTAATAATGCTTTTTTCAGGTCTCTTATCAGTAAAATGGAAATGGTGGTCTTGAGGACTTCCTGTCTCCGAAACAGCCCTGAGGAATATATTTTAACTGGCAGCATTCCCAGCTGTGGGCACTTATTTACTAAGCAGCGAATTCAAGCAGAACTGTTTGTGCCAATACTGAATAATTATTTTGGCTTTACCTGCAATGTTGATGTTACAGGGGGGAACAGCCTGTCCTTCACGATGGGGAAAAGTATATTCTCAGTTCTAATGGCCAGAAGCTGCTAATCGTAGATCTTGATAAGTCTGATGAAGGAGAATATACCTGCAACGCAACAAACAGCTTGGGAATGGAGAGCGCGAGCCTAGTTCTAGAAGTTACAAGTACGTCATGGTTTTATTTGGTGTTTATATGTGTAACTATTTATTATCTCACCCACAAACTCACACAGCACTGGATACATTGTGTAAAGTGTATAATAAAAAAATGTTAGCTTAAGTACAGAAGGAAACAGACACAGTAATTTTGAGGGGTTTGTCTGGCGGTCAATAAAGACTTTCAGGTTGAGTGGATATGAATAATATCCTGGGGTGAATAGAGAGAATTGGGTCTTCTAGGTCAACTAACATCAGATAATGTCCTGGTGGACATTAAAAGATGGCTCTTTTTGATCTACTGCTGGGTTGTGGATACTGACAGTTTAGGACATAACATCTCTGTAACAATTTGAGTTTGTCCTCGAAGTTTCTTAATGTTTTTTTGGACGTGGTAGGCTGATTTCTAAATTCCATGAACTATTTGTGCTTATTTTCAGGTGAACACGAGAAGGGTTTAGGAGCAGGTGTGATTGTTGGCATCCTTCTCATCTTATTTTTGGTTGTAATGTTGGCTGTTGACTTGACGTGCTTTCGAACCAGAAGACGTGGTGTTTTCATGTACATTTCCACCAACTTGTTGGGGAAGTCCGTTCCAAGAGTCAAGCTTGAAGAAACAGAGGTCAAGTATGTATTATTCTATCAATTTGGATTCTCTGTTAGTAAATACCCCGTGTGAGCAAAACAGCAGCATGGGATCTGCTCTAATGTTTTGATTTTTTACTTTGTCTTGTAGGAAAGGGTCTACTGACAAGAACCAGGTAGTAAACATCTCAGGGATCGATGCCTGACACGAGAATCCCATTTGTGTTACTGGAGAAAAAACAAATGCTAGTCACAAATTTATCAAATTTAAATAGACATTAAGACGGACATCCATTTGGCAAATAAGGCCCCGTCTCAGTGCCATCTCTCATTGTATGAAGTTTGTGCGTAACCAAAATATTGTACAGAAACCAAAAGGGAACTGTACAGACTGGACACATTCTACACTGGAGACAACACTGCAGCTCATTCCTTCTCTTTATAATCATAAAACCATGGAAAATAGACTCTGAGGATGAACACACTCACTGCCACAAGGGGAGCCACGTTAAGATCCGTTTATTAGCTGATTGAGTCATCTATCTGCCCTTCAAATCCAAGATTCATCCAACATCACAACTCAGTCACTCAGTATTGGTAGCAACCACAGTGTTTAATGGAAAAGGACATACAGGTTACAAAATATCAACTGAAAAACAAAACCTGATACACATATCATAAAATATGGCAGCTATTACAAGAGATATCTTAACACTAAGATTCAATAAAAATCTGTTATTTTGATGGATAAAACCTTTGACAGTGATAACTCCTGATATTCCTAAATTAACTGGTTTACCGTTCAATTCAATGAAGAACCAAGCAGGAAATATTAGATGTTTTATTTATTTAAAAAGTAAAATATGTAATATTCCTGTACAATATCCTGCAATAAAACAGGCAGCAAGGTGTGTTAGGTGACATCCGTAACCTGTTGTTGCTCTGCCCGAGTTACCTGTCAGACTATTTATTTATTTATTATACTTATTGTTTTTTTTTTAGTGAATTGAGAGGCATTATCCTTTCAAGAAGGAAATTATGCTAAAATCCTTAGAAATTTTAGGTTTTGCCACGTGTTTATAACAAAAAGAATACTGGTGAGATGAGCTTTGTGAATAGGTATGTAAAACACTACACATTCCTGACTTATCCAACATCATCATTTACTGAGAATTACTCCTCATGAGTCATTAACAAACATGATATTTAAAAAAAAAACATAAAGAAATAAACATTTAAAATATACAAATACATGTTTAAATAAAAAGTCAGAAAAAAATAGCATTGCTAAACAATCCTTAATGATAGTCGTAAGGGGAACATAAGGTCCACCACTAAGGAAAATGAATACAATCTTACCAATTTCACCCTTTCTGACACATATAATGGGCATTAGACTCTGTCCTTAGACATGTGTTGTGTATCATTCTGCAAGAAGATTTGAAAATGTCTGTGTCAGGTATATTAAACAGCTCCTCATTTTTACAGTGACGGGGATTATAGGAGACGTTGTCCATCAACATTTCGAACCATATTGACCCCCGTATCCTAGATCATTAACTTCTCCAGTCACAATGTCTGTGTTGCATTTTGAAAGAAAGGTATAGTGATGAAATACAGGCCAACGCATTTCACATATAGTAATATCTGGATTTACTGCTCATTTTTTTACCGATCTGTGTATATGTTCTAAACATACATCAGCATTATAAATATATCTCAATAGACCTCAGTTTTGAATGTAAATCCCCATCAGGAAAATAGCTTCCAAAAATGGGCAATATGGCACCATTTATTGCATTATTATTCGTATGAAGATTGTAGGCTGGTATGGTCACCTACCTGCTATTTACCTGTATATATATTTATTCTTCCATTGGGCAGTGCAGTGTACAACTCAAGGAACGCGCAAACTTGTTTTGCTTATAAGAATAATGTGACATATCATTTGTCTGATTGTGATTCACGATGACATCATGATAAGTAATGAGATCATGTACATAGAATACACATTGACTACTAATTGCAATATTTTAATAATGCTTGAAATAAAGTGCTTTCTATAAAGCTGTGTGTTTTTCTGTTTGTCTCGTGACATTTCTAGTGGGTGCTCTAGCGTTCACAGCCTGTTAAACCCCGTCAGGGGTAAAACACTGAGTTTCAGCATAGGGTTAGTAAATCAGTGCAAATCACACAAAACGATATGTAACACACACCGAATATCACGTAATACAAAGCTACAAATAATGAATAGGGACATTGAAATACACTGAAATAAACCCAGGACATACGTGTCCTGGTAAAATATTTTATAAATAAATAAAAAATAAATCAATGTGTACACACATCGCCCCTTTTGGTTACAGGCGGTATTGCAAAAAATAAAGTCACATCTGGAAAACTGGAATATTTGCTCATCCAAGTCATTAAAATGAACTAAAAAGTTGTAAAATATTCAGTTATTTTTAATACGTCATGTTACAATAGGTCCAGTACAATGTATCAAACGGAATATTGTGAAGCCGATTGAATAGTAAAAACAAAATAATAAGTATCGGATAGCCACAATAAAATTACACACAAATTAATAGGCTTGCTAATCTATAAATAACACATTACAGAATAAAACATGCTTGCTAAAAAAAATTAACAAAATAACTAATTTATAAATAAATATTACCGACAATGCAAAATTCCATCAGATATTGCTTCAAATGTACCAAAAAGTTATAAAGCTGTTCAGTCCTTACCAGCAATGTACGCGTTAACCTCTGCTAGAGACAAGAAGACAGAATCGAGTAGTTTGTATTCATTAAATGCTTTTTTAACAAACTATTGTTTAAAGGACCACTATAGTGCCAGGAAAACACACTCGTTTTCCTGGCACTATAGTGCCCTGAGGGTGCCCCCACCCTCAGGGTCCCCCTCCCGCCCGGCTCTGGAAGGGGGAAAGGGGTAAAAACTTACCTTTTTCCAGCGCTGGGCGGGGAGCTCTCTGCCTCCGATCCTCCTCCTGGGCTGAATGCGCACGCGCGGCAAGAGCTGCGCGCGCATTCAGCCCGTCGCATAGGAAAGCATTTGCAATGCTTTCCTATGGACGCTTGCGTGCTCTCACTGTGAAAATCACAGTGAGAAGCACGCAAGCGCCTCTAGTGGCTGTCAATGAGACAGCCACTAGAGGATTAGGGGGAAGGCTTAACCCATTCATAAACATAGCAGTTTCTCTAAAACTGCTATGTTTATAAAAAAAATGGGTTAACCCTAGAAGGACCTGGCACCCAGACCACTTCATTAAGCTGAAGTGGTCTGGGTGCCTAGAGTGGTCCTTTAACATTGAAAAGTAGTAAAAACGTTCTCACTTCAAATCAGTGAATTGTAAATCAGAAACCAAATCACGAAATGTACGGCACAATAGCCCCGCAGCGTGGTCGTTTTACAGTGATTCTGTGTTTACTGAACTCATTCCTTGATTCTACAGTTCAAAGCCTACTACAGCTTAGCATCAATTACATCTTCTATAAAACAACAAATATACGATAAAATATTAAACAGAAAATGCAATAAACAGTTACCAACTAGATTCCAATTTTCAGTATGTTGAAGGAAAACTAATTGAATAAACACATGAAATAAATCAAAACACTCATCACACTCAGCCATGACCACTAAGAAAAAACACAAGCTGCTGGAAAATGAAAGTGCGTCCAATCCAATCTAGTTGTGATAAATGGTTCTTAAAGGATCCCTATAGGCACCCAGACTGATATGGATGTAAATTAGTGATAGTAAAATGTCTATTTACTGTGTATACCTGTATTCAATATTTACTCAAAATGGCTGCTAGGGCAACCCCCCTCCCACCGACTAACTACCTCGTGTAACAAGATGGTGCCTGTATCCAGAGTAAAATCCCGGGATGATGGTGACATCACGCCTCGTAGGGTGTGCATTAGATAAGACACTTAACACCTAACCAATTGAAGATGTATTCTCTCTGTTATCTACATTTTTGCATATGATGTATTTCTGCCTTTATAAGGGGCTTGCCGCCCCCCTGATTAAACATTCCGAAGTTCTTCATTAACCTGATACCTGTGTCTCAGTGTGATTTACTTCATAAGCGTGCACGCATTTATTTACCAATTTGGAAGGGAGCAGATACTCAAATAAACAAACATTTGGTTTGATCCACAACAAGACCACATCAGCTCAATGAAGTGGTCTGGGTGCCAGGTCCCTCTAGTTTTAACCCTGCAGCTGTAAACATAGCAGTTTTAGAGAAACTGCTATATTTACACTGAGGTTTAATCCAGCCTCTAGTGGCTGTCTCACTGACAGCCGCTAGAGGCGCTTCCGTGATTCTCACTGTGAAAATCATGCTGGACGTCCATTGGAAAGCATTGAGAAATGCTTTCATATGGGCGGTTTGAATGCGCGCGCGGATCGCGCATGCGCATTCGGATCTAATGTCGTCAGAGGGAGGAGAGTTCCCCAGGGCCGAGGGAGCCCGGCGCTGGAGAAAGGTAAGTGGCTGAAGGGGTTTTAACCCTTTCAGCCCAGCGGGAGGGTACCCTGAGGGTGGGGGGGACCTAATGACCCTATAGTGCCAGGAAAACGAGTTTGTTTTCCTGGCACTATAGTGCTCCTTTAAACAAATGATCCCTATAAGTTGGTGTTCTAGACAGCTGTCTCCATTGACAGAACTTGGATAATGAATTTAAAGGGTTGCTCCAAACCTGTGCCACAATGAGCCATTTTAGGCTTACAATGCCTTACTGGACATTGCTAATAAGTCCCTCCCTTAAAAAAAGAAATTCTGTATCCAGCGCTAAACTTCACCCATCGCTCATCCCCCTCTGTCCAGCATCAGCAGGGGCCTTGCCCAATCCAAACACAGGCTCCTCATGGAAAAGCCTGTTATTGGACCGTTTTGCCGCAGTGAGCATGCACACACTGTGTGTCAGCAGGGGGGAGGGAATTTCAGAGGGAGGGTAGGAATTTTTACTTAAAAAAAAATAGGATCAATGGAGGGAGGCTGGAGGAAGGCAGGAGGGAGGAGAAATGATATTCCCCTTGAAGGCACTCTAGCTTCAAGGAAAATATTATTACGTCTGTTGCTAGCGTGCAATGCGCACCAATGACAGATGTAGACAGGGCCGTCTTTAATAACGAATGGACCCTGGGCAAGTGTTTGCTTGGGCCCCCTGTGCCCTGCCGCTCTCGCCCCTCACTCCCTGGTATGCAATCACGGCATCCATCCCAACGCAGTGGCGGTACTAAAGTAGAATGAATTTTATTGGGACCCCCAATTGCAAGGTTGGACTAAAGGTAGAACCCCATCTGTCGTGCAACTCCAACAATGCTTTGACAGCTGGGACTCTACCAATTTCCCATGCTTGCAGGGTTGTATTTAGCACTGAGCCATGTTAGTATGTTTGAATGTAAGCATGTGTTTGTATGGAGTATGTTTGTGTGAATGTGTTTGTATGTGGTACTGGAGTTTGAATGCAAGTGTGCATTTATGTGTAGTGTTTGTTTTTGAATGTAGGAGTGTGCTTGTATGTAGTGTTGACGTTTCAATGCAGGAGTGTGTTTTATATGTAGTGTTGAAGTTTGAATGGAGGGTGTATTTGTATTTAAAGTTGCGGCTCAGATGCACAGGTACACACTCTGACGCACAAGCAGATACACAGATACATACACTGACTACATACAGATAAACAGGCACATACACTGACAGACACACTGACACAGGTACATATATTGACACACACACGGACACATACACTGGTAGACGTACTGACAGACATACTGACACAGGCACATATACAGACATACTGACACACAGACACATATACCGACATACTGACACACACACACACAGACACAAACACTGATCAACATATTGACACACATACACTGACAGAAATACTGACACCCACATACACTGAGAAATACTGACACACACACACAGGCACATACACTGGCACACACAGACTGATATACTGACACACACACACACAGACATACTGGCACACAGACAGATATACTGACACATGCATACACATGCACTAACAGACATACTGACGCACTGACAGACATACTGACACATACACATACTGACACACACAGATATACACACATATATACTGACACACAGACAGACAGACATACTGACACACACACAGACATGCTGACACACACACACTAACACACATACACACACACACATACATACACTAACACACACATACACTACCACACAAACACACACACATTTTTATTTTTTTTAAATGTAATCCCCCCAGCCTCCTTACCTTTTGGAGTGCTGGGGGGATTCCCTGGGGTCCAGTGGTGCTGCTGGGCTCCTGGGCGGGTGGCCGGTCGGGCAGGCGGGCGCGCAAGGGAGCACTCAGTGCTTCCTCTTCAGCTCCCTCGCTGCCGCCAGATGCCGGCTCGAAGATGACGCCACTGCCCGCACTGCGCGTGCGCTGAGGGAGCTGAAGAGGAAGTGGGAGTGCTCCCTCGCGCGCCCGCCTTCCTGCCCGACCGGCCACCCGCCCGCCGGGGTCAGCGGGGCCCACGGGGCAGGTGCCCCGGGCCCCCCAAGAGAAACTGGGCCCGGGGCAGCTGCCCCGTTTGCCCCGCGTTAAAGACGGCCCTGGATGTAGAATATGCACAGAATTGACATTAGGTAGTCTGAAACAGAGTTCCGAGCTGCCTAAATTATGTGTGCCAGGGATGCAACTAGTCACCGGCACACAAGTGCAAAGATCTCAAAGGTATATGCAGTATTTGAAGCAGTAACACTGCACATCCAGACTCCTACCACCATGACCACTTCAAATTACTGAAGTAGTCATGGTGGTTGGAGTAAGTCTAATTACGTATATAACTCCATTATCCCAGCTTAATATTATATATTATGTCATTACAGTGGGTTTCTACATGTTGGTTGTGGCTTCCTGGTTTTGCCACTAGTGCCAAGCTTAGCCATCGCTGGCGCCAATCCGCAGATCGACCATTTAGGTGCCATCTACCACAAAACACGCAGGAACATTCAAACACAAAGCAAATGCATTGATAGAGTTGAACGTTCTCCATTGGTTCATGCCATTTGCTTTAGATAAAGCCATTTCCTTTGCAATAAAC